ACAGTAGCTCTACTTTGAAAACTGTCCACAAATGCCTTGTTGACACTGCCAACAAGGAGTCCAGGAGACCACTGTAGATTAGTGGTCACCTGGAGTCATTCCCCTGTGTTCATGAAAAACTCTCCTGCCACCACAACACATTTCTGAGTCTGCTGCAGAACACTGTCTTCCTCATTGTTACCTTGTGAACTGACACAAATTCCCCTGGCACTAATGCCTGAGTTCATTAGCAATCACAATGCTACTGCAGATTTGTACTATGAAATGCACTTTGAAAGGCTTGGACAACTTTAGGGGCCTAACTGTGAAACTGGGATTTAGATTAAATAAGAAATCTACTCGGCAGTCACCTAAGCTTTTATTTAGGCCTGAAAGTTTCTGAGGTACTCATGATTCTGCTTATGTGGATACCAAAACATGTCCTTGCTTACTCTGGAGGGAATCAGAAAGTAAAGGGAATGTAATCTAAGACTGTAGGTTTGCACAACTTCCTTGTAGGGCAATACTCTATAAATACTTACCAGGTCATGGGAATATCCTGGAACTGTATCTTCTTATCAGAGTAATCCTGTGGTGCATACCCACCACACAGTCTAATTTGGACCCAACAAGAGCTCTGTGTGGAATACAGTGCATACCCAAGAAGCATTGATACGATGCTCAAGGCATCACATTTAGCACGTCTTAAAAATGTACATGTGCAGCCTAAGGGACAAGACCGCTACAAGTGCTCTGAAGAGATTTAAGACATGAAAAGAGGACAAGGATCCTTTCTAAATGACCATGAGCACTTAGTATGTAGTGTGTATTTGCCAGTGCTGCCTCCTTGTATGTTATAACTCAATGGTTGCTTCATCCAGGTGCTTGGAAAGTGCCTCTACACATCTCCCAGCTTCAAAATGCTGAAACATCCCCCATCTGCCAAAAGAATGTCATATTTCCTCTCCACTTCTCTAGACAGAGAATAGTCATCCTTCACCTCCCAATCAGTAGTAAAAAAAAAAAAAACACAACAAAAAAACCCAAACTAAAACCACATACACAAATATATGGAATCATTATTCACTGATGTCCCTGGTTCTATCCCAGAACCCAGAAACTTTGCAAATACAGGATTTCTCAAACTCTTGAGAATCAAAAGCACTAAACATTTCTGTATCTTTTGCTCCTGCAGTGGCCTCAGTTTGTAAATCTTGCAGCTTGGCTCTCCAATAATAATTATGGTAGCTAGCCACTATCTCCTTTGGGCTAGTTGCTAACACAGTCCAGCTGATTTCTGCAGAAGGAATAAACAAACAAATTTGAACAAGAAAAATGCCAAGACTCGGAGGATGGTAGCAAAAGGGCAAACTGAAAGACAGCTCAGTCTAATTATCTGCATTCAAGTGTTATCAGAGACATTTTTCTCTGCAAGCAGCAAATGATCCTGCATAAAGTGGGTTGGAAGGACAGACCACAAGAGTGAGACCATTTTGAGTTCAGAAGACTTTTCAGTCCACCCTTCCAGCACCGTTTATGCACCTTATATCAAACAGTCAATGGAAAGAAAAGAATTAGTCCTCAGAATGGTTTGTAGTCAGACATGTGTCCAGGATTCTAGTTGGGACACTGCTGGTGCCACAAGTTGCCCATCTCAGCCCCACTTGGGGCCACTCAGTGTTCACTATGCATAACCTGAGCCTGGCTCAGGCTTTTGCTTCCGGAGTCAGACACTTCCTAGAAGCTCATAACTGCATTTGGGGCATGGTTATATATGAAGAGTGACCTCAGCAGAATGCTGAGAGAATCACCTCAGTAGCACAGAAATAATGTAACAGTTCCTCCTAAACAAGGGGCGTCTCACTCCCTCTCCTTGTTTTCACATCCTTCCCACCATACACTCCAGTAAGCCTAACTGCCTCAACTCAGGGAGCCATCCTAGCAAGGAGAAGGATGTAGATGGTTTCTGAAGGATGGGTGAGCTGAACGAGCTCACAGGGAGCCACAGACCCTCACAGCTGGGAAAAAGATAAGCCTTTTAGCAGTACTGAACCATTCAAGCAGCTTGCCAGGTGCATGAAACTACAGCTTCAAAGCACAGAAACTCAAGCTCTTTCAATGTCCGGCGTCTTTCCTTTGGTTTTAGGTGACCAGTGCCCCTGCACACAAAACATGAGGCGGCCAAAAGCTGGGCTGTAGTGACAAGCAGGCAATCAGCCTGCCAGGTGAATGACAGGCCCCCACCATAGGCAGATAGACAAATCCAGTCCCAAGTTCATTTATTTTTTTCCAGCTGAAAGTTTGGTAAGTGCATCCCAATATTTTATGGCAAAAATTAAATGGCCTCACTCTGCTCCAGAGCTCCCATTTCCAGGCCCATGGCCAGTTAATACTTCATCTCCTGCTGCAGCCTGACCAGCAGTGGAACAAGCGCTAAACGAGTCCTGCTGGTTCTGGTCTGTCAAAAATCCCAAGCTGGAGCCTGAGGGACCATGTGAGATGCTTCCTGCCCACCATGCCTTCCTCTGGTTTGATTTCCACAGATCCCATGGAGCATCTGTTCAGGAAAATTCAGTCTGCAGGTGCAAGTTTTGCAGCTTATTATCTGGCTCGCATTTTTGATGTCCGGAAAAACATTTCAAGAAAATAACTCCTTAAAGAGAAGGGCTCCAGAGACAGTTTTGTATTCCAGTGCAAAGGCTTTTCCTTTAGCAGGCATTTGTCTGTGGTGTTTGCAACCTAAGTATGACAAGCAAAATCTGAAAACAGCATCGATTAGAAACTGATTCTTGAAACAAGTCATGCTCCTTTCTTGGCAGAGCAGTAATGAATTCTAATCACTGAGTTTTTCTGATCTTGTAATACATTAATTAGTTGGAACATACTTGCATCTCAAAGATCATGTCAAATCACAACTTTTAATTGCACATAATTCCTACCAGCTCCATAAATTACTTTCGAGTACATTAAAGTTCAAAGAAAACATTTTAACCCTTACAATTTTTGTATAAACCCATAGGAAGAAAAAAACTCAACCCCATTGTTCAAGAAGAAATACACTAATTTAAAATATATAATAACTTTTGCCACAGATTTTTACATCAGATTTCTTGCTTTAAAGAGAAAATCCTACACCTGGTAACCTTTATTACCTCCTTCAGCCCTCCTGAGTCATGGAAACAGATTTTGGAAAGGTGCCCAAGGCCATGCATTTTAAAAAGCAACAAAACCAAATCCTTTCACCCATTTGTTTCCCAGGTCACAGAATGAAAACCTGTAGGCCTCCTATTTCCATCTTTAGCACACACTCTCACTTGAGACTTAGAAAGCAGCTTAAATTTGACTTGCAAAAGAAAGAGAGAGCCATGCCCTCACTCCCTGGAGAAAGCATGTGAAAATAATGTGCCTTTTTTTATTCTTTTAAGCTTTAGAAACTTGAACTCAAGCTGTAAGAGGGGAAAGGAAGTCCAAACCAGGCAGCTGGTACAAGTAAGGTGCAGACAGAGAGTCTTGTCCTGAGTCAGCTGGAAAATATCCACATTGAAAAACAGCTTCACAAGTCCCTGTGCGCCCTAGTTCCCAGGACACTGCTGCACAGGAAAAACTGCAGCTCTGTGTGCGATTTGTAGCATTTGAAATGAAACTGCCTTATGGATCTTCAGCTGTAGCGATTTTAAAATTAAATAAACAATTATTTGAGAAAAAAAAAGAGGCCTCATTTCCTCATATCCCACTGAGACAAAATACACACAGTCTATGGTCCCTATCCATTACTGCAGATTAAATCAAACCTAAAACAAGACATGAACACTTTTCAAGAGCACTTTCACTTGTTTATACAGAGGATATGTCTGACCCTCATTGTGCTGACTGAGGTGGATCAGTACTAGGAGGCAGGGATAAGTGGACCCATGTCAAATGTTCAGAACAAGGTTTTTTCCTGGGAGACTGAGACTGAGGGACACCAAGACCTTCCAGACCTGAACAAAGAGCCTGTATTTTCATGGTTCCCATCACTGCTGGCTCTACAAATCAGTGTGCAGACACTGTCGTTTAATATCAGAAGAACTGAAGTTACCATGACTCTTTGTGGTCCTGTTTTTTACAGCCTTTCCTCATGCAGGATGACCAGTGGTAACCAGGAGTTACCCTACTTGTCTTTCTCAGGAGTACTTTTTTCAAGACACCTCAAGAGAGGGAGACTGGCTACCCCACCCCCCCGAAAATCTATGCACTTTCTTCACTAAAAACTTCTTTTGCAGAAAAGAGAAGCTAAATGTCAGGTTAAACTATGCTAACAGATTGTAGAGCCCAGTCCAGTCCAGCCCAGAGCACAGGAATCTTCCGGGAGGATGGAAAATGTCAAGCGTAGTTCCCTAGACCTGCCTTGGCCAGGCACATCAAAAGTGTATGTGCCCATGTGCCTATGTTTATGGTCAATACTCTCTTCCTTTCCCCTCCTCACACAAGTGTTTATTTCCTTGGAAGATAAGATAATTAATCTGATGGTAGAAGATAATCAGGATTTTCCCTCTACATACAATACAAAATACTTTGTGTGTATCTATTTGTGTATACTGTATATATGTCCATGGCTTTGACTCCTGAACAGGAAGAAAGAGATTTAAAAGACATTATACATATAGCAGAATACTTTGAAGCTACTTACTGAAATTCTCATTTCCCACCTTCGTCTTTAAGCATCTACATAGATCTGAGGGATTTCAAAGGGGTATTTTTATAATCCTGCTCTGTGCCTATTTGCTTTTCAAGGCAATTAAAACTAAAAATATCCCCAAAGAGGCATAGATACTAGGAGAATATTCTATTTCATTAATGGTTGTTTCTTTTTCTTTTCTTAAGGCTTCCGTTATCTTTAGAACACATTTGGGACAATCATGGGATAAATGAATTAGGATTAAATAATACTATGACTCATTAACATACAGGAGTTCAATGTATACTTGAATATGTCCAACAAAACTGTTCTGCTGACCCTTGTTCCAGTGGTGTTCCTCCTGTTAATTGTCATGTAAGGCACTTTCTTCTTTCAGCTTTGATGAGTCGTCTTCCTTATTCAGTGTGCCATAACATGAGCTGTGAGAATCTGGTTGTATTTTGCCTGTCAGTTTTTGTCCTAAGGAAATGTGGTGAGAGAAGGGAAAAACAACAACTCTGTGCAGAATTTTAATAAAACAAATCCCCCACCAATCCATCATTTAAACATTCTTTGCTCCAGTAATCATTGTTTTCATTTGACTGGTTGTAACAATAGCCTGGAAAAACTCTGAAAAATTCTTTGAAAAATCTGTTGGGAACAGGAATAGAAATTAAGGGAACAGTATATTTATTAAATATGACTAGAGCACATTTATGACTCAATTCTCCTAGGCCATCCCATTATCTGATATCTCATTCAACCAGAGACAGAAAAAATGCCCTACTTACCAGGAATATGTCCACAGTCAATAAAAGGAATTTGTGAATGCTCCTCTTTTTTATTTCTTGCAATTATAAACACACCAAGGAAAGACAGAAGACACCTGCAAAATAACAGTGGCAGAGTATCATTAGAAACAGTTCACTGCATCTGAGATGAGAATTTCTTTCTATGTTTCTTTTTCAAGGACTTACAAAACCAAGTTGCTGAGTTTATAAACACACACTTCTTCCTGGCAGCTCTATAAATTCATCTTCAGCTTTCTTTCAGTCCAGTTTTTTCCTCCTGAAGCTTTTTTATCAGTTCCAGAGGCTCCACAGGCAAAATTACACTTTTAGCAATATATACCTAATCAAATGCCTGTGAGTGTGAGACCACAACATTTGAATCCCTGAGCAAATCTTCACAGAGCATCCAAGCTAGCACTCTATCATGTGCTATTTAATTAGCAACTCAGTCTAACTGTAGACAATCAACATCTCTGTTGTTTTTCTCATTTGGCTGTGTGTCTCAGGGGCAAGCTGTAAGCCAGAAGCAATGAAAAACTGCTATGGTCAGACAAATCTTCTATCCGCTCTGAGTTGGACACACAACCCCTAATTTCTATCTGTCAAATACATGGCTGCTCATCCTCATTTTTTGTCTCTTTTCCAGCAGTCAGAAAAGACATCGGTTATGTGCACCTATTCCAGCCCAACTGCAGAAGATGTCTGTAGCTATCAGCCCCACTTATTTGTCAGCACTGTGGCAAGACACCTTCAGCAGTTCTGTGAGATGCTTTTAACCACACCTATTATCAAGTAACTGTCACCTGTCCTAAGAGTTGTTATGGTGCTAATAGACAGCAGAAGGTTCCTGCTCTCATAACTCCAAGCCATTCTTCAAAAATTTATTTAGCATGCTCTGAACTTTTCTGCAGGCATGCTGTGTCTTTCTTGACACTGGAAGATGAGAGAGAGTTATTACAGCACTGCCTCATAGGCAAGCAGCTCATACAATTGCCCATGCCTAGCAGCAGCAAAGACCAGTCAGACACACAAGTGGAAGGTAACATGGGAGGAGATGTCTTGCACTTGTAAAAGCACCCTCCATAACTTGATATTTGCTGGAGAGCAGTGATTGCTCCTTCCTGCTGGAGGAACACATGGTGCTGGTTTTTCATTCCATCATGAGATTAGTGGCTCATAAGTGTCTCACATTTTTACATATTTGGACTTGAAACCAGGCCTCCGAACTCCCAAAGCACAGACATCAATCTTTCCTTTAATGTTTTTTTATCCTACTATAATGGCTATTCCATAATACTTTAATAACAAGGTAGGTTTCTTCTTACTAAGAAAAGATGGGATTCTGCAGGGCAATGCTGTTTCAGTACAAACGTTAGTGCAGATTTTAGGCTGATACACTTACCCGAACAGAAACATGAACACGCTCAGGAAAGCTGCACTTTGGAATTCCTGATAAAATATGACCCCTGGAATGTGACAGAAACAAGAATTGCAGATCTTGACTGGCTTCCAAGTGATATGAATTACAGCTGGGAGGGTCAGGAGCAGTGTCATGCTTAAACGGAGCGAAAGAATCCCAAATAAGGTATTAAGACACATCATGATGGGTTCACTTTATGTGCCTATATTCCATAATCTAGGCTTTCTCAAGATACTGCACAGGACTGGAGAAGATTTAGTCTATCAGGTTGGAACATGTGCTGTGTTAGTAACTGCACTGATGCAGGTATTTTTTGCATTGTCAGCAACAGTTTTTATGCAGGTCAAACTCAAGGTCTTATTCACAAGCAAAGACATACCAATATAGCTAAGAGGTTCTTCGTGGATTTCATTAAGCAGCTCCAACAGACCATGTGGACATCTTAACTCCAATTGGGAACAGGTTTTCAATAACTAACTGTGTCCCTGATGTTTACACCAAGCTAAGGGCTCCAGCAGCCAAGTTTGCCAAATCTTTCTGGCTGAAAGGATCACTAGCTCTTTCTGGTCACTCCTCTTCCAGGAATTAGCACCTTCATACTGGAGGTGACAGAGCCAGATGTGTATCTGGGTCTCAGCTGCCCCAATTCACAGCCAAATATATTAGCTTTAAACCAGTGATGAGCATAGTTCTGCTTAGAAACACCAGAGTGTGAACCAGCACAGCTGAAGCATGGCTGTGTCTTCAAAGGCTGCAACTGGGGATGGGAGAATCATGAGACAAGGTACCTTCTATATGAGCACCTCAGCAAGATTCAGCAGAGGTTGTTCGTCTAAGCCCTACACTGGTTTAACTAACCTAGTGCAAATGCCTGTGTATCCAGTCTCAAAGCTATTAAGCCATTCCTGAATAGGTACTTGATCTTTTAAGGAGGCACCAGGCCAAATTCCCCATATGGTCACAGGAACGCAACCCCCTTTTGGCACAAGTCTCCTCTCAGTCACAAAGTGTAGGTCTCTTCTAACACAGGTGCTGAGGCAATCTGTGTGTGAAGCTAACTCCCCTTCTCATTAATGGCAGCTCTGCATGAGAAACTCCTGCACAGCAATGACAGGAAAGCCCCTAGTGTGTGTTAAAATGAGTCATAAATGTTCTAACAACATGATCATTTTGGCTCATTGCTGATACAGCATCTTAGTCGTCCTCCCTGCTCATGTTCTTATGCTGTGCACCATTTCCAAGATTTGCAGTCCCTCTTTAACAATGCTGAGTTCAAAGTTCTCACCCAAAATAAAATGTTAAATGCTTAAAAAGTCTTTGGAGTCATTTTATTTCCCTCACTTAACCCAGAATTCCACCTTCTGAAACAGAATATATGCTAACTACTATGAAGCACAGCTGGTTGTCATTTGAGTAGTTTGCCAGGCTGTTAAAATTACCAGTTCGTATACAGAGAGGATGGTGTGCACATGGTAAATACATTTACTGGATGTCAAGATGAGGCTAGGATAAATGCAGGTACTTCTAGTAAGCCAGCAAGGCTCAGTAAATCACACAAATCTATTCTGGAAAGGCTTGAATTTGATTATTTTTCATAGAATCATAGAATGGTTTGGAGTGGAAGGGACCTTAAAAATAATCTAGTTCCAAGCCCCCCACCATTTATTTTGTTTCAAAAGTTGTGAACTTATTTATTTTTCAGAACATAAACACCTGTGACTTAGGAAAAACTTCTTTTTGTGGAGACAAACATGACTGGTTTGGGTTCCTGTTCACAGATAGTAATTCTTGAAAACCTGATGTTTAGAAAATCATTCTGTAGAGGCAGAAGGCCAGAAACAAACCTGAAATGATGGCACTGGTGGTGAAGAACACAAAATTAATGGGCACAACTGCTGTTGCTTCATACAGATGCATTGCTTGATTCAAGAACCTGCAAGACAAGTGTTATTGCACCTCATGCCTACAGGAGCTTCATTGCACTTTGTCAGGTTAAACCACTTTATGTCAGTTTAATATTAAGTGTGACCATTTCTTACCACAATAGCAATCAACCCTGGACGGATGCAGATGTGTATGGAATTTACTTTCTGGTTTTGTCTCTGCAGAGTACAAATGAATAGGTGAAAGCAAGAAGGCTGGCATGGATTCTTCTGGCCATAGGCTGTCAGTGGACAGTCTTTTGAAGCATTGCTGGAAAAATGTTGTCTGCCACAGATAAGGGAGGAATGCTAGGGCATTATTGCTTATGGTCTGCATTGGTTCTTGGAAGCAGTGCTGTCTGCAAGCAGCCAGGGACAAATTGCTCTAATTTAAACAGATTGTGTAAGGGTATGTTTACAGCACATATTTGAACATGTGAGTTCTCGTAGGAACTATTTCACTTTGCTCAAGTCCACGTTGCTGTTACTCCTCTATCCAACTTGGCTGAAACACCTATTTGTATATTTATCCACGCAATCACACCCCAGAAACACACTGTCCTGCTGGGAAAATCCAGGAAGGTGGCCCCAAGCCTGTGCTCCTTCAGTTGGAGACTCTCCACTGTGCTCTTCAGAAAGGCAACATGAATCTTCACCAGAATCATGAGCAAGAGTGTGCAGGACCACGGAAGCATACACTGAACACAGACCTGCAGGACTGAGCCACCAGCCATGGAGCAGCCTGCACAGTCTGCATCAGTGGATGAAAAAGGCAAAGCAATTAACCCGCTTGTACAGAGACCACAGCTATCAGCATTTACCCATGAGTGTGAACTGTGCACCAGCAGATATTCTGTTATGTGAATGGTGCATTTCAGACCAAAAGAGAACAGGAATCTGCAGAGTATATTCAAACCTATAAAAAGAACCACACTTAAATGTTTCACTTGGAACAATATATATGCACAGTAAAAATCCAAGCTTGGGTCTGTTTTAGCCATTAAAGTAATTGCATGGTTATTTTAGCAACTGTTGAACAGTCTCCATGGTGCTTTAAAAATAAAGAAATCCTACATATCCACAGGATAGTCAGGATTTTGAAGTCATTGAAAACACCTCATTATCTTCTCCTATTTGCAACAAACTTGGTCACAGGGACTCAAACAGTGATACCAAGGTCCAGTGTTGAATCTAGCAGGTTGTTGCAGCACAGGCTGTTCTGAGCTAACACATGGCAGTCAAATAAAATAAGAGAGGAAACAAATAAAATGAGGATTTTAGACTGACAGCACTGTCTCCATTAGAAGATGTGTCCAAGAGAGAAGAGAGAAAGGGACATTGAGTCCTGGGAATGAAATGGGCACTTTTCACTTCTGTTTTAATTTTGGCCCAGAAAAAGAAAGAAAGAAAAAACCCAACAAGATGGAGAGGTTAATTCAGCAACTTCCTATTTACCAAGCTCTCACTTCCTATTTTAAATGCCCAGAGCTGTTCTCCCAGTGAAGACAAGCTGGATGTAAATCACTCTATAATATGTTACAGGGGAGTTCCCAAGTCAGCCATGGAGAGTCACTGCATAATAATGCATGGACTTTCTGATTCCACATGGGAATGGTGTGTTCTGCCATGAGAAAGCTGGGTTGGCTCTTCTACCGGAAAGTAATCATGCAAGTAAATACTCAGGCTCACACTGGAGCAGTGTAGATGAGATTACTGAATGATGCTATCAGCACCTGAAGCAGAGGGACAGGCATAAAGCGAACAGACCCTCGGTTCAGCTGCAAGACATATTTTACTATGCTGCCACCCCCAGCAATCTGCAAAGGCAGCATAAACCAATCACTTAACAGACCAGAGGCCTGCAGGGAAAACCTGGATGTCCCCAGCAGACCAAAAGTTAACTGTTTCCTAGAAATGGACATACATACAGAATAGCAAAGTGCAACATGCAGATTTAATAAAGACAAGGAGGAAGTTGGGATAAACTCTCTTCTTCAGTCAGGTGACATAAAGCTGGCAAGAAGAGATGCATAATGAAGGTAGATATGTCCATTTGATTATTCAGCAATAAAGGTTTCTAAAAGTAACTCCCAAAAGATTGCATAAACATAAATTTCATTTAATGAGTTAAGACCTGTGCCAAACCTAGATGTGCAAATTTGGGTAGACCTTGTAGAAGGTGATAATGAGAGGAGGTAGCATCTCTAACAATCAATTTTAAAATAAGAAATAAAGCCTAAATAAACAATACAATCAGCTGGAGACAATGCATCTGTCAAGGCTCTGCCAGGAATTTGTATATGGAATCATTATCAGTACCAAATAAAACTGACAGATAAAATGTGTACAAAGGTTAGGAGATAAGAATCTCACTTACTTGACTTGGAAAGCACAAGATGTTGCCATTAAAACAATCATGATATAGAAAATGGGATAAGTTAGCTGCATTTTCCCCTTCACAGAAAGTGTTATCATGGTGGACACAGCCTTTACAGCAATGACAGTCAGTGATGCTGAAAGGGAAAGTTAGCGATTAGCAGGGCAGAATTCACAGCAGTGATCCCGGATCATCACTGGGGAAGGACAAGGTTCCAGGTCAGAGCCACAGGTCTGACCACCTAAAAATAAGACTGAGGTAGGATTTGGCCATCGCTCTGTGTGTGCTTTGTGTTTTGCACTGAAGTTCTTGTAACACTGAGATCAGCAACCTTGCACCTACCCAGAATCTATCCATTTTCAACAGGGCAGCTGAGGTTAGAATCATATAAAATCTTGAAGTGTGCATATGTGTGTGTGTGTGTGTGTGTGTGTGTGTGTGTGTGAGAGAGAGAGAGAGAGAGAGAGAGAATCTGAGCTCCAGGTATGGAAAGAACTGGATCCATTTCCCACTGCTGGGCATATGCTCTCAACACTGGACTACCAGTTGGAGGTTCCACATCTTCCAAACATACTTTACCTAGCTCCAGCTGCTAAATTGGAGTCCATGTTGCATTACTCAGGAGAGGTCTGGTTACCTCTTCAGAGCAGCTAGGACACCTCCTAACAGCACCCTGCATGTGACACGGGATGCCTAAAATAACTCTTCCCCCTCAGTATTTCTCTGCTGAGACAGGAGCTGGCCAAAGCTGGCCAAAACTCACTTCTGGGATCACATCCCAAAGCACCTACTTCTCCCACGGGTTTTGTTGGAGAGCAGACAACCAGCACAGGGGTCCACACTTCATTTCAGGGGCCAGGCTTTTAAGACCACTTACTAGATTTAGCCCACAGAACAGAGTATTTCAGTGGTGTTCTGTCAGTGCATTTAATCACTATCATTGCACCATCACAAACAAATTTCAGACAACATGTCACCAGTTCAGAGAAGTCTTGCAAGACAGATCTTTTAGAAAAGGGGCTGAGAGTTTAGCTAAGGGTTGCTTTAGATTTCCTTTTAAGTGTGCTCTTGGTTTGTTGAAGCTAACCCAAGTAGGCTATGATTACTGCAAATAAAATGCAACAAATTCAAAAGAAACTAAAAACTGTAAGAAGAGTCAGGCTGCAGAGATGACCTTTGAAAAAAGGTAATTAATTGTCAGAAGCACCGTCCCCCAGCTGGGATCCAGTTCCACCCTCATGCAGGGCTGAGGAGTGTTGGATTTCAGTGGTCTGATTCATCCTCCCATAACTGCAAAATTCAGATTGGCAAGGAGATCTGCACTGTGCAAAAAGTTCAGGTCAAGGATTGGGAGAAAAGGTGGGGGAGGAAGAATGAATTCAGGTCTGTGGTTTTGATTGCAAGCATTTTTCTTATAGCAAGTCCAAAAGTTCAGGGGGAGTTTAAGAGTTGCATACATTTTGTGATGATCCTGTTCACCACCATGAAATTCATTGTTTTCATGACAACCTGTCCACTAAGTACTTCACTTCTTTCTCTGTAATGGAAACAGGTGAACTGGTTTAACAAACACAGCTGTGAAACTGAGCAGAGGTCAAATGCTGGCCCTGCAGCGGTGCAAATGGTATGATACAAAGTCAAAAATACAGTTGAGCCCCAACAAGCAGCCTACATAAAAAAATGAGATTTGCACTCTCAATGAGGAAGTTATTATTTTAAAAGAACATGTACAGGTAAAAATTAGTAGTTTGAATTGTCCATCTAAGGGTAAGGATTGCTGAAAAATTGTTTCTGATGAAAGGGTAGTTTCCATCCCTTACAATTTTAAAAAGACAGAAAACAAAGCATCAGGGGTTTTTGGTTGGTTGGTTGATTTGTTGGTTGGTTTAGTTTTTTGAAAAGTGGAATGATCTTTTTTGTTAAAGTAGCTCTGGATAAGTTTCAAAACCTAGGAAATGGTTTTCCTTTCTCTGATATAATTACCTCCCCTCAAGGCCTGTGTGACAAATGATGTCACTTTCCAGCTGTTAGAGCAGAAAACTCTGAAATCCCACTTTAATCTGAAATATTCCCCCCCAAACTTATGACAACTCTCAGCATATACATAAGGTAAGATAATTCTCACCAAATGAACTTGCAGAGTTGTACTAAGCAAAATGTTTGCAGATTTATGATCACCTCTGTATTTTCTTCATGATGAAAGTAGCTCACATATCCAGTGAAACACATAGGCTGTCCTCTCTTTAAAGAAACCTTCTACATTTAATTTACATCTGTATGAACACTCCACCAGGAATGTATCTGAACAGAAAAAGCCAAAATCTCCTTCCATGAGCTGCTATCACCCCAAGCCTCCTCTACCCCTCAGTGCATGTGTCAGACAGCTGGGAGCAGAGTTACTGGGCAATTTCTCATCCCCTCTGTGACTTTGCTCAGCAAAAACAGTCAGAGACCAAGCAGAATGCTCTAAGTGTAGCTTTGTGGGGACTGCCAGACACCAGGACAGCTGCAGGGATCAGAGTCAGATGCAGTTCTGGGTTTCCTGATCAAGAGAAATGTCAGTATTTCAGAAGTTCCCATGAACCAGGATTTGTTTGTTTATATCTTTTTTAATAGAGCAGAAATAATGACATATTCTTCCTCAAGCTGCATATATTCACCAAAACCTCAGCAGCCACGAGCTGAAATTGTATTTTGGGTTGATTGCAGCCTGACCATCAAACTGCAGTTAGTGCCTGCCGTGGCACAAGTTTGCAGCCCTGCTGCTGCTCAGCAGCTCCACGTGTCCTTTTCGCACTGGAGGCATCAGGGCTGGCAGGCTCCATGGCAAAACAAGCACGCAGGACTACACAGATCTAGTGTGGTACATCTAGGTCTCCTGGAGCCATGTGTTGACCTTGCTTGGGGCAGCTGTCACAGTGGGCCTGCCCAGAACTGCAGCAGTGAGGTGTAGAAGCCCATCTGGAGGTCTTCAGGCTTCCAGCTCAGCAACAAGGAGGCTCAGGAGTGCACAGTGCTTCACACTCCTCATGGCAGTGTTGGAAGTGGCAGAGAAGCTCAGGTGAGCTCTGCCAAAGCTCCTAGGCTCCATGCTAGGAGCTAGGGGATGGCTAGACTCATACTTTACTCCTCCAAACCAGGAACACTGGAGCAGTTAGACCTAAGGCTTTTAGGGCTATTCCATCTCTGCCTCATGCAGAGAGCATGGAAATCCTTGAATGCTTCTGCAGAGCTACAGATTCTAATGTTCCTAGCACTTGGAAACCTACATGGGAAGACTGTCCCAAACAGTTGTTCTGGAAGTCTGAGCTTTTCAACTGAGTAAGAAACCACTCAGGGATCTGAAGGACGACATTGAGATTGTGAGAGTTTTTCAGATCCAGTTAAATCCAAATTTTGTACCTGGCAAACTTTAGAGAAATTCTGTTTTATCAAAACCCTCACAATCATCTCCATTAGAAATGTGCTTTATAAGTCTTTGCAAACTGATGCATGCACTCACTGAACTCAGTGAAAAAATAACTTTTTACTTCAGTGGCACAGTTCAAGCACCTTTCACTTCAACCAAAGACCTGTGGTGTCCCATGAGGGCTTCATGGAGAAGGGACAAGACAGGAGAATTTGTCACATGGGGTGGTGAAAATTCTTAATATAAGCCTGCAAGCAGTGGAGCTTCAGAGATAACCTCCTGACATTTCTCAAAACTGATTCAAGTTTAACTTTATTGAACATTGCCTGATAAAATGATCTTCCCTATTTCCCTGAGTATTGATTGTGGTGACAATAATCAGAAGGCAACTTCAGTGACTCACTGAGTTCTTATGCTTCTGGAAAGGTGGTAAATTATGAAATGTTGCATATGCAAATAGTAATAGATAATTCAAAGACAGGTTGTTGTACAGTCAGAGCATATCACTCTATTTGTTTACAAAGTGCTTACAAGGTCTTAAGCTGCTCTGTTTTAAAGAACTGATTTTCACAGCTTGCTCTCCAAAACAAAGTTGCACACAAGACACTGTTCTAGGATCTAAATGCAAGGTGTTATTTCCAAAAAGCTTCAGAATACCATTGCACACAGCATATTAATTTCAAAGTAAAAAGAAATGGTGCCAGCAAAATGCATAGAAGCTATCCTAGAATCATAGAATTTAAGGGTTGGAATGGACCTTACAGATCATCTAGTCCCATTGCCATGGGCAGGGACACCTCCTCACTAGATCAGGTTGCTCAAGGCCTCATCCAGCCTGGCCTTGAACACTGCCAGGGTCAGGGCAGCCACCACGTCCCCGGGCAACCTGTTCCAACTATGTTTCACATCAGCTTTTTCTTCAAAAAGAGACCCCAGTAAAAACCATGTGAAATGTTGCAACTATTGTCCTTCACCACACTGCTTTGAAATGGCCCTAATCTAAACAAGCTGAGAGACCAAGTGACAAGGAATTATCAAGTAACAGACAGGAACATTAAAGTGAGTAATATGTGCTTACCCAGTAGTCCAACCATCATTAGCAAAACCACGATGTGTTTCACAGACTTTCTTTTGTAAAAATAGAGGAGAATGCAGAATATTATAATTTCTAAGACCTGAAAATAAAAGAGGAGAAAATTAGAACTTGAAAACTATATAATAAATGCTTCATTCAAAGTCTTTGAGATGTCACATTCATTTTTGCTGCTCTAATATTTCAAAGGAGAATTGCTGTATAAAGCACCTTCTGTTAAAAATAACTTTATTGTCATTCAACTGAGCTATCAAACAATTGTTGTCATTTATCCTTCTTATTGTAGCAAAAGTTAAACTTTGAGCATTTCTTATTTAGTTAGTTTTTCTTTTCACACTTCTATCTATATTTTGTTACTGGTAATGTTGAGAAGACTTCTTTAAAGTGACAGCGAAGGTATCCATATTTATTGGTAATAATTCTTACAGAAACTCTGTTTATAATTCCTATGAAGTAAAGCACTTAGTTAAAGAAATAGTAGTCTCTCCTTTTAGCTATGGTATTCCTAGTGTTACTTTGTGATGTGCAAGCTTATTTTTGCTACCCTCTTTGCCCTTCTCACCATTCCTACAAAAAACTCCCTCTGAAGCAGCTTTACTTGCACTAGGCATGGTCCAGTTTTGTTCCTTCAATAACAAGTGACAGCTAAATGACAGACAGTTAAATTTACTGACTTGCTGTTAATACGTCTCTGCAGATTTCCTCAGTAACTCTTGACTTTCACCATCTCAAGTGTGGGTATTCTCCCTCCTATACAAAGGGGTTGCCCAAACACTTCTCTATGCCTAAGTAATACAGCAAGTCCAAGGGCCATAAAGCTTCTTCAAAGCCCAGAAGACTTACAAAAACAAGGCTGATGGACCTCTGCACTGAGAGGTGCTCAGAAGCCTTGGTAGCCTTAGACATAGCATGAAGAAAGAGTTCATTTGCACGTGTTGGAAAGTAATCAAATGGGGGAAATAAGACAGAAAATGAGATTGTCATCATTACTGAATCTGGTTATTGTTATTTTTTGTCAACAAATCATAGAAAAATCTATCTCCTTGATTTTGCCACCAGCACACTATTTTATGTTCTATAATGCCACTTCAGTCTTAAACCAGCAGTTGCCATTAGGCAGCACTAGTCTAAAAAATACCTTGGTGTTGCGGTGATGAAATTTCCAAATAAATTACTACTACTACCAGTTAGTAGTAAGAGTTATATAATGTAAATAGCCCATTTATCATTTTGGAGAGTGACTGCAGCAGGAAAGCCATAATCAGCTACATCCATTTACTAAAATTCTCTACCATGCTTACACCTTCCCCAGTTTAGTAGTGTTTAAAAATATAAGCAGAACATAATTATGCTTTAATTAATTTTTTATTTACCTTCACACTGACCCATTACTCCCAAAGACAACCAAGAGATGATTGCATTTCAGAACATTACGAACACAAATTTGAATTTTATACCACTTTTCTTTAAAACATCAAATATTTATCACAAGATTAAAAAAACCCCAACAATAAATTGTTGGCATTTTGCATTTGTTGGTATTTTTGGTTTTCTTTGTAAAATGTGTTGAATAAAATAAAGCATTTTGCTGCTGGTTAAAAGAAAGCATACCTGGACTAATCCCAGTTTAATAATCTTTGCAATCACTTGTGAAGTGCTGGTCTCATCTCCCTCCAGAGTGGCATCCCTCCCCATCAGGCTTGCACCCAGAGGTGAATTTGGGCCACCAGCTGGTAGAAAAGAGGCTTTTGCCTCAGTTTTACAGTATGTAACTTGGCCAGTCTCCCCAGTTCTATTCAACAGTGCAACACTGGCTATGTCTAAATCAGGAGCCAAGGCAGAATACATGTTACGATCTGCAGGCAGGTGAGTTCATCTTGGCCTCCCTGTGGAAAACTATGACAGGATTTTGAGGGAACTTGAGAGGAGAAGTGAAGGTAGCAGCTTTGCTCTTTGTGCCACTGGCAAACACATCTTAGGGTCAGAGGGGCATGTCACGTTATCAGGCTGCAGCAGCTACAACAGCCTTCAAATAGCTTCAGTTGCTATTTTGACAGTTAAACAATTGCTAACAGACTAGAAGAAATCTGCACTAAATAAATATTCCCCACACAGAAAGGTATTCGTGCTAAGAAAGAACTTCCAGAGACATCCTAGGTATTCTCTTCCATGACACACCAGTTCAGGACTGGCACGCAGAATGGTGTGACTGGGATTGGGCCATGGCACCCGGTGACACAGCACTGTGAGATCTGCTTCTTCTGCCAATGCAAACCTGAGCACCAGTCACCTCTCATAGACCCTTGGTCTGGCTGCCAGAGTGTGCAGAAACCCATGAGACAACCCTACTGCAGGCAGCCAGCTACACCTCCCAGACTGATTCATTTTATGTCCTCTAAACAACCCCAACAGGGGGAAGCACTATCCTCTGCCCTGTGACTGAGATTTCAAACTATGCAAGAACAATCATCCTAAAAAGAGCTAAGGGAGAATCACTGGCTCAACTGCTCCCAGCTCTGGTGTTCCACTCCCTCTTCCACCTCATTCCAGCCCCCAGTGGCAGGCAGTGCCCAGCAGCACCAGCCTTGACTGAATCAGGTCATTGTAGGTGGCTTTGTCCGTCAGCCTTCTGTTGGCCCTCATCCTGTCATCAGCTCTCCTCTTGCTAAAGCTACCATAAAGCTCCACTGTTGTCTCCTCTTGTTTAAAAGCAAACAAACCCACCAAGAAGACTCACTTCTGAAAGGAAACAAACAGCCAAGTAAAGCCATCAAAAGGACATAAGAGTCCCTGATGTCAGCTCTCAAAGGGGCACACAGGTCTGTGTGTGTGGCTGCTTTGGCCTCCTGGGGAAGCCCCAAGCACAGCAGTGGTGCAGGTCCAGAGATGGCAGTCCTGTGATCAAACCTAGAGAGAAAAGTGATGTTTGCTTTTCAGGGCTCCTATTTAAATTTACTCAGCTCTGTCAAGTCTCACATACTAAGCATGAAATTAAAACAATTAGATCTCACCTAGTACTGCCCAGAAGCCAAATGATTCTTCCGTGATTCTCTGCCACTTGGTGACCCACCAACAGGGCACCTTTAACCACAAGACGAGGGAGACTATGACAATTAAGTCACACTTCAAGCAGAGTGCATGGCTCCTGACAGGACCTCACACAGACAGGAGTCCTCCTGGGGTGCCCCAGCTGCTGCCTATGATTGTCTCCTGATAACTACCCAAAATAGTGCTTGCTCTCATAGCTGATAGCTGTGGTAGTGTTAAATATGAAGTCCAGGAATGGGAAGTGCATGGATTATACCAGCTTCACGTATTTTGTTTAGAGGAACTGAAGGAACTTGACCTGCTTACAATCATCTTTGCTATTATAACTAATCTCTACTGATGTCTCCTCAAGCTCACATCTCATCAACATTTTTTATAATCATGATGTTTTCCATGTTTCTAAGCATTACCAGAAGGCACCAGAACAAAATACCACACTGTCTGCCTCAACTCTTTTCTAGCATATACAGCAACATAAGGACCAAAGAACCAGGAGGGTCTTCTAGGCACTTTGAAAGAAAAGCAGAAATGCTTTGAACCTGATTTTGCAGAGATTAAATATTAACAACCCAATACTTACTACACTTCTGTTTAGGGAAACCTAAGAGGTTCATGTATAATTTATGTCTTCTCTAGTGACTCAAAGTGCACATAAGCAAAAGAAAAAACAAGCTTAGGATAGTCATTCTTGCTCAGACATGATTATGCTACTGCAAAGTCTCAGAAGGTGACTCAAAGTTGTCTCGTGAGAATTAGAGGCTATTTCTGCAGAATATGCCAGTGGAGTGCCACATGGGGATGGTTTACCACCCACAGAGAACATTTTGTACCATTGGGGCTTTGTATTTCTCAGCAGACCACACTTCGGGGCTACTTTTAGAAAGACTGTTGGTCTGCATTATACTGCTGCACTGTCTCCTTGCTAGATATTTATAGTGGAAACTCTGCAACTTCTGCTGCACTTTTTTATATCTCAAGAGCCAACCTGTGCCGGGCATTTTACAAACAATTATGAAGAGCTAGTTCCCTGCCCAAAGCGAGTGTTTACAGCAGGGTTTGCTTGATCTTCCAGCAGCATACCAGGATAATCAGGCTGGTATCTCAGAGTCTCTTGCAGAGTCTTTCACTCCTCCCTTTCATTTGGACAGAGGAGGCTTAACACAGATGAATCCAGAGAGCAGAAGGAACAAATAAGGCTTGATACATTGCTGAGTCAACAAGATTTGTGGTATACTTGCTCCATCCTTCCCTGCTAGTCATGCTGTACTTGTAGAATTAGATGCTGGCAGAGGCAGGGAAAAGAGAAAAGAGGGGAAAGAAAGTCCAGGGGTTACCCACCACCTTCTTATAACATCTCCTAAGAAGAATACAGCACAGTCTTCTTAGGCATTAAATTGCATTCGTACTAACTTTTCCTGAAACAAAGTCCTCAGATGGGAAAAGCCCTTTTCCAGCAACCTGTTGGTTTTAAGAAAATGTGAAAGGCAAATAGCACAGAAATATCTGGTGACAATGAGAGTGGATGGGGAGTTTTCGCTCTCCACCATTTCTACACAAATTGGTGACTCAACAGTTTAAAATCAGTGCCTAAAATGCTAGACTATTTTATCATCTATAGGTGGAACTGCATGGTAGAGGGGGATAGTCAGTAGAAAAGAGATAAGGTCCCCCAGTGGGCACTGTGATCCCTGTTCTGAACCCCCTCCTAAAGAAGTCCCTCTTGCTCTGCTGATTTCATGGACTTGCTGAAGCTCTTGCAGAGGCTGAAGCTACCCTTACCGAGTACCCCAAAACTCTTGGGCACTGCCTTCAAAAGCCTCTCTACTGCCTGACTGAAAGTGCATGTTGTGATTTATACAGCATGATCATTAATTTCTTCCACTGAACTGTATCACCATCCTTCAGGTACTTTTAAAATGCACAAAATATTGAAAGAGGGTTTAAAATGCACAGCAAATCAAAAGAGAGGATCAACGTCTTTATAGAAGCATGTAATTTGTGCTTAATCAGTAGTCTCATGGATAGTTAGATACATGTAAAGGCTGCAGGTTGGCTGAAAGATTAAGATCCTTAAACTGTCTGCTCAGTGGCTTTCTAACTGAGCTTCCTACTGAGAAAAGCCTGGGCACTAAGAATCTAACCTGAGTAAGTCACTTTACTGGGAAAAAAAAAAAGTAACTTCTTCTGAAGCTCCTGTATTGCATCTTTTACATTCAGTTGAAGGAAAACAGAAAGACAGAAATTCCTCCTACTCACTCTGGTCTTGTTCCTGATGCTAATTAAATACATCAAAGAAGATACATGGTATTTGAAGTTTGAATACAGATACTTTAATCAAAATAGTATTTTTGCATTTGAATTCCAACTCAGGGTCAGATTAACCTGAGTGGCAGTGAAACAGGCCACCCCTTCACATCTCAGCTCCATACAAAGCTCCTTTCAGCCAGATTTAACAATGTGGGGATAAAACAGAGTGATATGAAAGAAAAACGCATGACCAAGAGCATACACAGCATGTTTTTTAAAAGCACAATTCCATCACATTCCAGAAAAAAAACGTAATTTAGATGTACACGCAGACAGGGTAGAATGAATACATATATAGGAAATACAAGCCGTACCAATATTTATGTTTTTTCCTCAAGCTCCCCAAGCCCCAAAATCTTTCCATTCTTATTAATCCTGCAAAACTATGACTTTCCCCAGCACCTAATTCAAAAGATATCTTTTGGTTCTGCATGCAGACTAGGATGATGACCCAGGAACTTACTCTCTCTCCTATGAAAATCATGCAGTTTATCTTCAGGAGGAGTTTTTCTAGCACTAATTCACAGAGGTTTAAAAAGCTTGCTAACCCCAGTTTTTCTGATTTAGGGAGTAGTATGAACCAGATACTCACTGAATATACCAAAACAGGCCAGCTCACTAAGTAATTCTGTACTTGTCTTGCTGTGAGCTCTTGGGGTAGACTTGGAGCGAATGCCACCAGCAAGTATGTCCCTGTTACTGTCAGTGTTCCTCCTTTAAAGAAAAGGACACATTATTTTGGTAATGTAGTATTTGACAATCATGGTCATCCTTGCTCTCCAGCTGATTTAGAAATAGTTTTGAGAAGAAAATTTAAATCTATTTAAGCAGATCTGGGCTTAGGTAATTGGTTTGCTTTGTAATTGTGGTCTTTTCTAGTCTTTCTTTTATTAAAGACTCAGAGACTTCTGGAAATATGCAAAAAGCTGTCAATAAAGCCTCATGAATGAGGCTTCCAATTCAACAATACATTTTCAAACATTCTCAATTCTAAAACCAAGTGTATGACAAAGGAGAATCAATCCTTTGTATTTCTCACAGGCACAAAGCACGTCACATAAACTTAGCCTAAACTGAAAGGACAAGTTGCTTACTGGTGCAGTCAGCTAGATCATTAACCACTGTAAATAAACATAACTCTCCCAAAGTCAGTGTGGCCAGCTATAGATCTGCCCTGGAAAAATGAGATGCAACACGTACATTCCAGTCCAGTGCTTATGTGAAGTTGTCACAAGACCAACATTTTTGCCAGTCCCTGTTGTATTTGCAGGCCTAATCACCTTTTATAAAAGGTTGATTTGCAAAGGACTGTTCAGACACTAGGTTGCCAGGGCCCCTTTTCAAGGTTGAAGTTGCATTATTGTGCTTTTAATAAAAATCTGGAAGTTCTGCCTTGTGGACAGCCAGCTGACAAACACAGATGTTGATTGAAGTATCAAGATAGAATTGAGCTGATCCCGAGCTCATAAACTGTATTGGATTAAGGAAGATATTAGCTAATCAATTTTTCTTCAAGAAATCTTTAACATTCTTGGCAAACCTATAAATCATTGTGGAATACAAGGCTCAGGAATACAAAACAAAGCACATCCGGAGGGCTTTGCTGGCACTGCTATCACCGACATTTCCTTTGGAAAAGCAGAATTGTTCTATATTTATGTGCTTGCAAAACCATCACCATATTTCCCATCACAGAGCTCATTCCTATGGAATGTAGCAACATTGTTAAATTCTTCTTGCAAAGTCAAACTCACAGAAATAAAATAAATCAGTGCTGAACACTAGTTATAGCAACACACAGTGTATAAGGCCATAAGGGAAACATGATCAGTGAAAGGAGGGAGGGTTTGAATGTAGCAGCTGAGCTGGAAAACTTGGATTTCAAACCTAAATAAATAGTATATAGTATTCCTGGAACGATACTGAACAGATCTCTCCAAAACATTCACGAGAACAGCTGCCTTCACTGCAATTTGGACAATCATGCCTAGACACCAGGAACCCACAGAAGTATCAGGTGCCCTGCATCAGGTGCACTGTCCCAGCTGAGATGGCTTGGTGTAAAGCCCAAACCCCGGAATGTGCTCATGTCTCACTATTACTCTGTTCAAGGTGGGCAATTTTGATATGCAGAACAGTCTTGGACGCAGAAAAAATGCTGACAGGCTTTTATAGTGAAGACATTTCCCAACAAAACAGTTGACAATGTGATTATTTGTTCTTTGAAGTGAAAAAATTAATACCGAAAGGGAACTTACCACTTTTAATTGAGCTTGAAGTTTTGTGCAATGTCTACACAGTAAGAAAAAAATCTGTTATATTTGAATGAATAACTCAATAACTTCACTGTTTTTATTAAAACCGTGATGTACTCATAAAGATAATACTCAAGACAACCTCAGAGGCAGAAAAAAAAGAAATGAAAATACATTTGAACAATAAGGACACATAAGGAATGAGTTATGGTTGTATGCACAGAGGATTTGGGAATGCAGTCTTTTCCTCTTGCATTGAAAATTCTCTCTCTTTTTATCACTTCTTCCCAATTTTCAAAGTATCTGCCTTGAAACACTTGCTTGGGAAAGTGGGAGTGTGAAGATGGGGGGCTGCGTGAGAGTTACAGCTTGCTAAGCATATGGCAGCACACATGTCTGTATTAGCAAATGCTTACCCAATATATCACTAGTCCTCATGGTCTTCTTCAGGAAAATGACAGAAATAAATGCACTACCTAGAATAGAAATATAAAGGTTTGGGGTTTTTTAGTATATTTATTACAATATCAAGTGCTATAGCAAAAAGCTGCTCTGAGCTAAGCTTAAATATATCTCATGGCTGTTGTTGTTGCACCATACCATGATATAAACAGACAGGGGTCCATTCCTGCAACCAACCAATGCTCAGTTAATTCAAGTGTATCCAGCAGGCTCTTCTGTGGTTGAAAAGATGCAATATCCTTCCCATCTCCCACACAGACATAGTTTAAACTGCTCTGATTCAGCCTTATGTGGATGTGCCAGGAAAACTGGGCACTGATCAGCCTCACTGTTTCGCTCCCCATTTTGCTACCAACTCACTATTTGGACTTGCTCAAAGCAAATTGCATCATAGAGTGATAAAATTCTGCTTCTTTAGACTTCAGTGTATTAGAGGCTTATAAGTGAAGTAACAGCAGTACAATCAAGAGGAAGAAAGACACTGCAAAATCACAGTATTTAGTATGAACTAAGAGAGTGGTCATGATGTATGGAAACAGGTAGAAAATCCTGCATATGTACCGCTCAGGAGCACTGCCCATGGTCTTCCACAGTGATTTGTACTGAGGAAGGAGAAAAATAGAAGTGAGCCCTAGAAATAATCTCCTGTTTCTTGGGAAACTCTTTCCTTTGTTCAGCTCTTGCATCTGCTCTCTGCCAGGTCCTAGCCCTGCCTCTTCAGGGTGGGCAGCAGTGGGCAGGTGAGCAGCAGTAGTGGTTGGACCAGGACTTCTGATAAGCAGCTCAGTGTGCACATGTGCTAGAAGGGAAAGAAGGGGTTCGATCTTAGGATGGACGAGACTGTTGGCCACCTGGAAGAGACAGTTTTATTCCAATACACAACATTAGAGCATCTACCTCTAAAGAGAAGCAAAAGAGGCTGGATAACTCCTATGTAAAAGAGATGAGGAAAGTCCTTTGTGAGAGGTGCACTGATAATATTAGATTCACTTAGAAACCTCAAAGACTCTGCCCAGGAAGGACAGTGAAGGGACATATTGAACCTAAGTCATCAGATGCCATTACAAGAGCTCTGTTCCTGCTCACAGCATGAAATTACTGGTTTACTCTTTGCCTCATTATCTCTATTGTTCTGACAGAAAAATTAATTTATGGTTAGCTAGTAGGTGTACTCAGGATAAAACTGGAAAGGTTCACACCAAGAAGTAAACAGATAACTGAAATTCAGCATCATGTCTGTGTTATCCAGTCAGTAAAAAATCTGATATAGCAGAAGTCATAAATTTAAACTATATTGAGAGTGATGGAGATCTATGCAAATGAATAAGTGCAATAAAAGAGTCTTCAACTGAAAACGCCTCACTGAAAGCAAGCTGCCTGACACTGTTTTCTTTATTCAATGTTTCAGTGACAACTTTGCTGGATCGAAGACACCGGTGGTATCCAGGCAACACTGGTAATAGCAGAGCTACCTAGGTTTAGAAAAAGAGAGGACAAAAGCCAGGAAAGAAACAGCATCATCCAAGATAGTGCAGGAATTAATTACTGCTCTGTCTCCTTCTCTCATAGCTCTCCCAAATTCCACCTCAACCCACTCACCTAGGCAGTCACTGTCACAGCAAAGACCTATTGCTTAAAGAACTGATACCTCAGTGATTGGTGGTTGTCTGGGCTCTCTGTATTCAGTGGAGACCTAGCAAATGCAATCCAGGGTTCAATTCCACTGCTGGAATCCAATTTGGGGTGAGATGAGTTATGCTCAGAATTCCAGAGCTCACCTATCTGGAGATGAAAAATGGCAGCTTGGGGGGGATCACAACCTCTGAGACTGGCAGTGGGCACAAGGAGGTACTGGAATGCAGCCAGATAATGAAACTTGTCACTCAGCCTGTCATCCACTTTAATAATACATTCAAATGCAGCAAGCTCTTTCTCCAGAGATAGCTGAAAATGCACCAGAGATCATGAGCTTAACAGAATGCATGCATAATTAATGTTTTATATGAGGTAGAGTAATATGCAGAGGAATCTAAAAATAGGAGAGTCTTTAAGAACATATATTAGGCCATCTGGGATTAGAAGAAAAACTAAGTAGGAGGGGAAGTGCAACACCAAAGTGGGGAGAGGGAGACCCTGGAGACACTCTGAACACAAAAGACAACTGTCCCTGTGGGTAAGCTGCCAATGCTCCATATGCATTCAAGTGAAGAAGAAAAGCAAATGGGGTAAATCTAAGCGAAGAAGCAGAGAACAGTTACACAGACCTGATGAGACACTAAAAGACATACACAACTGATCAGAAGCCTGGCAACCTCTGGCTGTTACCTCCAGGGCTGAGTTTTAAGCAAGTTACAGTAGCCCAGCCAAGAGAACACACTGGCTAACATGATATTTTTATTTTATTTTATTTTGTGACTTTTCTGGGATTTGAACTCCCGCATGAGCCTTTTGAATAGCCTTTTATATTTAATTTTCAGAGTAGGTTTGTATGAAGTTAAAGCAAAGAAACAAGAGATGATAGTGGCTCACTAGAAATGATGGGCTGGGGAGGAGGGGTATGAAAGGAGCCTGTGAGCCCCAGGAATGCAGGCTGGTGTTCGCTAGTTTTGCCTTCTGCTGGCTTTGCAGCTTTGCCTGTCTGGTAAGACAAATGGAAGACATCAAAGGATACCTCAGGAGCCCAGTGGGAAATGCACAGCCCTCCCAGCTGCTCTGATCCTCTTTCTTAACTCCTTCAGGCTCCCGCTCACAGCCTCAGGTGCATTCACCTGCCTAAGACACTGACTCTTCCAGAAAATGCAGTTTTTCACAATACGCTAGATAGCCAACACATTCCCCCTGCCATCTCCTCTCGGCCTGGTGGCCTCCAAGATGATCCTGCTGTGAGGACTTTCTGAGGTGCCTTCTAACTTGAGTTATCCTAGGACCCTTGAACCCTTGGCAGGAGAGTAAGTGGGCATCCAGAGGTTAGAACTAAGACTACCAGATATATGAATTTAAGCCCTTACTGTATCCCAAATTCAGCTCCTAAATGCAGCCCTGCTGAAACTCCCCAGACTCTCTCCTCCCTTCCCACCATCCCTCAGATCACAGACAGTGTATCTTGCATCTTCGCACCTCTCCTCCTCACTACCAGTGATGTAATGCTCTAACACTTTCCTTGTAGCCCACTTCCCCTTCACCTTGATTTTATCCCATCGCCACAGCATGAGTCCAGCTTCCTACTATGCAGCCCATTTTCCCTTTTCCATGCCAGGGTCCTGTTATTCCCACTCCCTCACAGAAACTCTTTTCCTCCTCCTTCTCCACCATTATACTGATGTGGAAAATAAATCATTGAACGTTATGTTCAACTCTATGGGTGAATAGACTGAGGAACTTGGGCAATTGCTGTGCAGAAAAAGTATTCATATGTCTTTGCAACTGGTTTTTGTTTGCCTTTCTTTTTTTTAAAGCTACAGTTATAGAGATTGAGATCTGTGTCAGAGTGAGAAATAGTCTCTTTTTCTTGGGTTTTGTTTTTTAATTGGTCAGCAATAGAATACAATGATACAGAAATGCAGACACAAAATTGTGTCAAAGAGTAAGCTGGCAACAGCTCGGCAACAAGGCAAGAAATTTGTCATTGTTCTGAAGCACGGCTGGTTTTGAACCACTGGTCTTGGGAATACAACACACACATGACTCCAAGCCTGAAAGTCATCAAAGCAATGACTGTATCCCTGGTCATCTGAGAAGACTTGTGTGGTTTGGGGTGAATCAAAACTATTTGGAGCTTTTTAAGTAATTATTAAGGTAAAACCTTCAAAAGCAGGCACAGATCTAACTCCCATTCCTACTGAGAGTGGTAGCCTGCTAGATCAAGAGAAGGGCAGAAAATTTGGGAGATGATCCATTAAGAATTAAACATTACAGAACCAACACATCCTAATGAAATACTTGAGTTTGTTTCATGCCCTGACTGCATGCTTATATTAATATCCATATTTTGAGAAATAAATAGGTCCTGTAAAATGCTGTATATGACAGAGCCTTCCTGTAGGCTCATGGAACTCAAATGAAAAATGGAAAATATGACTTGACGCTACATCAAAATCACGATAAAGAAAAACTGCTGAGTATGAAATGGGAAAAAAGAGTTTGTTCAGGAGCGTAACTGTAATGTTGAAACAACTTCATCTTCTCATCAGCATAAACCAGGCTGTTTTACATTCATAACTGAATGACTATATATCCACATTAATGAATGAATATATATTCACTGCAGCATGTGAATTTCAAATTAAATTGAAAAAATGTTAAAAAATTTTAGTTTGTTCATTATATGCAATTAAGTGCCCTGAGAGAGGGCTGTAATGTTGCTACACATAGCTCAGTCAGCTGCTCATTGTCTTAGAAGAGTGATAGTTTACAATTATCTCCATATGTAGGTTTTCTCCAGCACAAATAGAAATAAAGAGCAGGGTGATGTGTGGGTTCTGTCGCTAGCAGACAATGAATGGTGAGAATCCAGCTCACAAAACAACTCCTCTGCCTCCTAGACATGAAAGCTGCAGTCAGGATTGTTTCTCATTTGTTTCTTTAAGAAAGACATAATACACAACAGAAGTTAAAGACAGAAAATACGTATTGATACATGGTGTGCATTTTCAGCATTTTGTCCAATCCACCCTTAAAAAATTCAAATGAAAGAGTGACCTTCATTTATTTTTCGTATCCAAAACTATTTCACAAAGAAGTATATTTCATTATTGTTTTCTTGCTAGTCAGGCTATTTATGAATATAATTTTGTTACCTCTATTTTTATTGTCAAGTCTACACTAAATAATTTCTTTCACAACTGCTCATAACTTAAATATTAGTGTATCCTTCCTTTTCCTCTTTTTTATTCTAAGATGAGCTTTATGTACTGTTTAAAAAAGATTAGCTCTCTCCTCATAAATGCGTAGACTGCTTGTACTACTTCTGTCTTATCCAACAGGTTTTTTTTTAAAAAAACTGCAAAATTTAATA